AGACAGGCTGAGGGAGCTGGGGCTGTGGAGCCTGGAGAAGAGAAGACTGTGTGGAGACCTCAGAGCAACTTTTCAGTATCTGAAGGGCCTACAAGGAGCTGGAGAGGGACTCTGTGTTAGCAAGTGCAGTGATAGGACAAGGGGTAATGGGTTCAAACTGAAGGAGGGAAAGTCTAGGTTGGATGTGAGAAAAAAGGTTTTTCCTGTAAGGGTGGTAAGACACTGGCACAGGTTGCCCAGGAACGTGGTGGCTGCCCCAACCCTGGTGGTGCTCAGGGCCAGGCTGGAGGAGGCCTTGAGAAACCTGATGTAGTGAGGAGATGTCCCTGCCCAGGGCAGGGGATTGGGACTAGATGATCTGTAAGGTCCATTCCAACCTGTAAATTGTATGATTCTAAGATTCTATGATGACTAGTCCAGAGCATCATAGCCCATTATGAAGATAAGGTAAAAGATGAGACAAAATACAAGTTCTTTAAATCATGGAGCTGGGTTAATTTAATTGCTAATTGGAAATCACCTAGTTTATATCTAGTTGTCATAAGTGTCCTTTAAAATCTGTGCACTGAAAAGTTAAAAAAATAGTATTATATTATTAAATCATTATTCATTACTCCATGTGTGTTATCTGGAAGACAGAAACCTACCTATGACTAGCACTAGTAATATAATTTCTCCTTTTAACACAGCTTTGTCATCTACCTGAGAACCACTTGAAATCTGTACAGCCTCTAACTTCTCTCATCTCAACAGCTGTACAAACCAAATGAAGTTTTATGAAGAACACACAGGTAAAAAGCCAAACTAAAATGGTGTAAAATTTAAAAGTACTCCTCAAGAAGGTGGACAAACTACTTTATTACCTCCATTCCAGGCATTAGTTAACTGAAATCTGAATATGTAGATGAGTGTGAATTCACAGAGAATCTAAGTCTGTTAAGATTTTGAAGCAACCTTAACTCTGCTGTGCAGGAAGCTGATGAAGTAGAAACTGAAACGTGTGCCCTGGATCACATAGACTGTGCACGGCCAAATTGCTCACCACACTCTGACCTGGCAAAACGCCAGTGTGATCCCTAAATAACCTGGAGTACGATTTATGAAACACCTTTTGTATTACACTGCACAACACCGGCAAAGCCTCAGTGGTTCAACAACTGGCTGGTCTCCAAGAGGATTAGTGTAGGAGGAAAAGGAGGGGCTACCCAGCCTAGCCTCTCGTGCAAGGTAGCATGAACTGCCCTCCTTCCCACCCACTTCACTTCCAGCTGCCCTTTGCTGCTTGATCGTGGTCATTTCACTGATGGGGAGTAAGCAAAAGAATAAAACAGTGACAGAGAAAGCAAAGATTTTGTGCCCAGATTGCCTTTTGAGGGGAAACTGGAAGCCAATTGCAGGACTAGGTTCACTCTGGGTGCAGCTTAGTCGTGAAAGAGTGCTTCATTTTAAGGATGAAGGACATCATAGGCAAAAACAGTTCAGGCAGTTTTGTGCACCATATGTGCCTGGAAAGGCTGTTCAGCCCTACAGCTACTTGCAGAAGCTGGAAATTCCCAGCAAACTGCAGCGAGTTGTGCCTGGCTTTGAGGATCAGAGGGGTCTGAGAAGGAACGACAGGACCATAATAGGTGGGCAATGCTGGTTGTTAAACTGCAGCTGTTCTGGAAAAAAAAATTCCGAGAACAGATTCTGGGAAGCAAGTTATTTGAGTCCTGCAGGTATTAATTTTCAAATAGTTCTGTGAAACATGAAGTAGCTTTGCTCCAGTCTGAAAAACAGTCTAGAATTGGTTGTTTACTTATAACCCAGCTTAAAAAAACTACCAGTGATAGTTCTATCATTTTCAGAACTGGAAAAAAAACCCCTCATCTACACTACATGTCAGCAGTGTCTTTCCTGGCACAGGTAGATTTGGCCTATCAGCCTTTCTGTACTAATAATACAAAGAGACCAGTATTCTCTCTGATCAGTCATGAAAAAAGCCCACCACACCTCAGCTTCAAGTATGTCTCTGAGGTGGAATTTCAGACAGGTATTACTGCATGCACAAGCTTTTTAAATGAAAAAAAAAATGGATAAGAACTTGCTACAATCCCAAAGTTATCAGAATCTATTAAAAGCACCATTAGCTACAAATACAAATGCCCTGGGATCTGTGTAGATAGATAGATAGATAGATAATTAGATAGATAGATAGATAGATAGATAGATAGATAGATAGATAGACAGATATCAGTTACACTCTTTTTATTGTTCCCAGCAGTGATGCTTTCCCTTCCATTAACACCAAAGCTTTTCCAATTATTTTCCTTTACTTTAAGAAAACATACGTTGCTGCTACATTCAGAAATACCTAAAAGACAGCTATTTCTACAGGATATTTATTATAATTATATCATAGAGTTTGGAGGATGGAATAATTCTTGCCAGAAGAGCAATTTCCTGAGGTGTAATAAAACCACTAGCACTTAATATTAACGCTTAGTGCTTGGGAATCCTAAGTAGCCCAGGATTGCTATTTGATATAATCACAACGGTGGACATCAATTTATTGTCTGAAGCAGAATGTATTTCTAAAATGCCAATGAAAAGAAAACAGAGAAGCCAGCCTACACCTTTCCTCTCCTGATGGACAACACTAAAGCCAGTTGCACCTCTTCCCAAAAACTTAGCCCTGCCAGCAAGGCATCACACATTTATAAACTGGAAATATTTCTCACTGCATTTAAAACTTCCAGTGAATGACATAACAAATAGCACTGTGACAGGAGAAAGAACGTGTTGTGCCTAGGTAGGAACTGGGTGATTTTACATAGTTTCTTTTAGGGAGTTGAAAGGGGAAAAATATCCCAGTCTATCCAAGAAAATGCAGCTTTTACATTTTTACACTTGACATACAACAGACTATGACCCACCGGTTCTTCCTTCTGTCCTTTAAGTGACATAAGATCAAGATTAAGAAGTGCCCTGCGTCTGAAAATAACCCAACCCATGTCATCTAGCAGCAGTGCTTGAAGGACATGAAAACTGTCCTGATATTTCCTGCAAGAGCCCTGAAAAGTCAAGAGCTGTCAGAGTCAAGACAATTTTGTACCCACTTAATGCTGAGTATGTGCACTCCTATTGGCCCTGCAGATTTTGCAAATTCATAGCAGACTGATCAGCGGCTCAGGGTGGTTCAAGCCCACAGTCTCTTCCAGCAGATGTTGTTCAGCTCTAGGCAGTGATTTTTATCATGATTCCCACCATTATGAAGACAGGCTGAGGGAGTTGGGGCTGTTCAGCCTGGAGAAGAGAAGATTGTGTGGAGACCTCAGAGCAACTTATCTTAAGGGCCTACAAGGAGCTGAGGAGGCTGCATAGAGACCTCAGAGCAACTTTTCAGTCTCTGAAGGGCCTACAAGGAGCTGGAGAGGGACTCCGTGTTAGGAACTGCAGTGACAGGACAAGGGGTAATGGGTTCAAACTGAAGGAGGGGACGTTTAGGCTAAGTATTAGAAAAAGTTTTTCCCTGTGAGGGTGATGAGACACCGGCACAGGTTGCCCAGGGACGCAGGAGAAGCCCCACCCTGGTGGTGTTCAAGGCCAGGCTGGATGAAGCCTTGACCAACCTGCTCTAGTGAAGAGATGTCCCTGCCCGGGGCAGGGGGTTGGGACTGGATGATCTGTAAGGTCCACTCCAACTCCCAAAATTCTATGATTTTATGATTTCACAGTCAACAGACAAATGCAGCAGTATTGCTAGTTTGGACCAACTATTGCCTTCACAGCCAGTTGAACTAGGTGAAATTCAGAAACATTCCACTATTGTTTTCAGAAATACTTCTCCTTAGCTGTGCTTTAAATGAGAGTAGCAGTTAGACTTTCTTTTTTCGTATGAATCTGCATTTGTTATTTTACTGATTAGGTGATATGTGATGCCAAATACATACTAAATAGCTAAAAAAGCCTAATTTTCCCCCTTGCTTTTCTTAAGACAAATTATTTATTTATTCCACTCAAAACATCATCTGTAAAGCTCATATGTAACCATTTCTATTTGCCATTTCTACTGGTCCATATGGTGTCAGTGAGGTTAGAGGAGGTGTATCTGCACATACCTTCTGTCTGTAGGATACAGCTCCACAGTAATGACATCTAGAGAGTTCCATGCTGAGATGGTGAGGCCATTGTAGAGGCACAGCATACCTATCATCATGGATTCACTGGTCCCAAACCACAGGAAAAAACAGCTGATGCCAGAGAGAACCATGGAACCACCTAGGTACAAGGCAGGCAAAACAAACATGAAGTGAAGTTGCATCTAAAGAATAATCATTGTCTGGTGTAATGCTTCTATATACACAGTGTAGGTAAGTAAGTGACCCAAATATTTGAGTTACAAACTAAAGGGATGTCCTCTGCTGGTAAGACCCGTTGAGGAGACAAATGCTGAAAGAGCCCGTAGAAAAAATCGTTAACTCCTCAAGTATTAAGAAATACCATAAAGTATTAAGCTGGAACCATCTCTGAACTCCCAAAGCAAGCTGCCTGAGGAAAACCACCCCCATTCTTCTTTGTTCATCATGTCCTCCAACTACATGAAACCTGATCATATATTATGGCAATAAAAACACTGACTGGGAATTGTATTTATATAGAGATGGTCTCCTAGAAAATGAAGACAATGAACTACCACCTAGTTATTTAAGTAAATTGAAAACAGATTTCTCTTTGCAGATAATCCACAGGAGATAACTTTCATCTGTGTTCCTTTGCAAAACAGATAACAGACAAAGGACTGCTGATACTTCCAAGGAGTTGCTTCACTGGTTGAGCGTCACCTGGGCACACCTCGTTTTCCTTTGAGCTGGAGCAAAGATAAACCAGTGGTCAACACTCTCCAAAATCTCTTTCTAAATGCCTAAGTAATTGTCTTGTAATATCAGCACGAAAGAGCAATGACTCCTATTGTGGTACAGCAGAGGTGGCTACACAACTGTTTTTACCTAGAGATTTTCAACTGGAGGCTTTTAAAATCAGCATTTATGATGCCACACGAAGTATCTGCAGCAGGAACATTTTACATTTCTCTGAACCAAATATCTTGGTGTTGTTCCCTGTTTCAAAGTGAAACCCCTACCTAGCATCGTTAACCGTCCAATTCTATCCATCAGGAGAGCTGACACAATATTCCCTGGTAACACTGCCAAAGTTCCCAGGAAATTAACAAAGTAGATCCAGTAGGCACTGTAGTCATCATCAAAAGAAATCTGGCATCCTGTCCTGACGTGAAAAAATGTGCAGTTTATCAATTCACTGTCAACAAATTTATACTGCTCGAGATCTGTGGAAAGAAGAAAAAGAAACACTTCAGCTAACAGCCAACTCCATGTGCATCTTCTGATTTTAAACATTTCAAGTCCAAGCAACTTTAATGACAACTTGGAGCTTTCACTCCTTTGTCAAAGGGGACTAGTTGCCACTGATAATTTTGATAGCTTTTTATCTTATTAGAAAAATTTGCAAACCTCATGAAAAAGAGCAACTAAAGCCTGGAACAGGGAAGTTATATTACTGTATTTTAGCCCTGATTGCTTAAGGCCTTTAAGCACCAGCTGGCATTGCATAAAAAGCACTGGGTATCTGCAAGTTTCTATCACTTGGTCCTGCTCAGTATCAGATCTATTTCCACATCAAAGAGCCTTTCAGATGATACAGTAGATTTTGCTCAGTTTGATTTGACTTCCTTTAAAAGAAACATTCCTATGGAACTGAGTTTAAACTGATTTTCATGTCTGAGAAGACCTCATGGTCTTCAGCTTGCACATGGGTGAGTTACTCCACACAGGCCATTTTTCTTACCATTTCAGAGATTTCTCCCTATAATTCAATTTTCTTTCTGTTCCTCCTGTCATCCTTATAAACCTGATTCAAGAATACCTTACTTCCACACAAAGAAATCTGGGCATTGCTTGCCCTGCAACCTGGCTCTCATAACATTATTATTTCTGTAGTTATAGGAAAGTGGCAAGAAGTGCCTCATCTCTTTAATA